CCAGACATGCGTGACGCATCCCCATCCTTGGCATAATCTGAAGCGCCATCCACTCCGGAGCCATTGGCGCCATGAACCGTGGCGGCATCCGCGCCATCGCCTGGAGCAAACATGACCTTCTTTCTCCGCCCCTTTCCAAAGCCCTTCGCCTTGCGCTTTGGGGGAGGGGGGCGTCTTTTTGGAGGAGTCATGACAGCTGCAGAGTTTGTATCCGCGACTACCACACCCTCGGCGTTGACAACTCCAACTCCCTCAATGACCGTACCGGGCGCTGGCGCCTCAGGGGTTACGGTGACCGCGGTGTTTTCAGCTACAACTTGAGCTCCATCGGTGATCTCTCCCTCAATCTTGTGTCCCTCCGGTACCCATGCTTCGTAAATCGAGATATTTCCGGTCGCCGGGTCGACCTTCTTGAACTTGGTCCTCCTCATCGGCGCAGGAGCATTATTTCCATCTGTAGTCGCAGCAGCAGCACCGTATAGAGTGGGTAAACCCGGTCGTCGCTTGGCGAGGAATTCGACTTCCGATGATTCTAGGTGTCTCGGTACGGCGGACCACTTGCGCGTGACGAAACTGCGTTCGGTGCTCTGGATAAGTGGCTGTTCCTCTCCGTCGGTCGCTTCTTTCTCTTCGTCTTCGGAGTCTTTTGACGCTTGGCGGATGTAGATGCATCCGGCTCGCGCAGCTCGCAGGAGGGCTCTGCTCATGGGACTCAACAGGTGACTGTCTCGAGGCATTGGGTGTTCTGGAATGGTTGACTTGCCCCCGGGGCCCTGCACGACAGCTTCAGTGCCTTCGGCCTTGGGGACCTGCGAGACAGTCTGAGTTTGACGTGTCCAGCGTCGTACAGGGAGCCCCTCGAACACATCGTGATCGATCTGACTTCTGTTACGGTTGGCGCCATCGCCGAATTGGCGACCAGAGCGAGATGATCTAAACTGGGGGATTGTCAGTATATATCAGCGATGGCATCGTTCTATACCGCATTGGCAAGCTTCGGTGCAATGGTGAGTGGATCGATAACTGGGGGTCGGTGTCGGGGTCGTGGATCGCGGCAACAAGCTTACAGTAGGTGGCATGATGAGCGCCGAACCTGCAGTCTCACTGTTCGGAGAATAATCAGGATAACGGCAGAGAGCCCCTCACCCAGTGAATCTACAGAGCTGGGTGTGGTTTGCCCGATTGTAAAGAAAGGGACTCTTGGGGAGGGCGAGGCTGTTTTGGAGGTGATGGTGAATCGGAGCAGCGCGATGCGATCGCTCAGCGAAACGCCGCGCCGCCGCCCCCGCACGTGACTGGGGTCACTCAGAACCCTCACATAGAATAAACATGACTACCATCGACTACAGATTCAAGATGAGATGGATTGGGCTAATAGAGAGCGAAGAATAGTATTCCAGATGAGTAAGAGTAAGAATCGCTACCTAAAGCGCAGTGGCTTTCAATAAAAATACAGAACCCTTCGATCTATGCTAATCCTTCATCTTCGGGCCATCGGCTCAAATGGCCCCAAATGATATTGATATCGTATTGGTGCTGGATTCCCCTCAACTCCGTACTCTCGCTGCGAAAAACAAATGAATTCTGTTGGGCGTTTAGTCCCAGCTATATATATGTTAGTTTAGGCTCAAAAAAAACTAGATAAAGAAGGGTTCAGCTTACCCAGTATCCTTCTGGCGAACAATGTTTCCTTCCGTGCCAGTCTGCTTACCCTATTAACTGATTAGCTTCATTGCAATCACAGACAGGCTCCATGAATACTCACAGTCTTCTGACCCTCAACAACCAACCGATCCAACTGGTAGAACTGACTGATAATGGTTTGCCTCTGCAAAAGTATTAGCAGCTCGTTCACTAGCGTCCACCCCCGCTTTGACTCAGAGAGCACGATCTGCATAGTAGAGACAAACGCGGGCACATCTAATCATTTCCATGCGAGAAATATACTGACCTTCATCATCCGCAAGTTCTGTAGTCCATCCTGGATCAACTCCTGTATCCGTCGGTCCTCAGATTCCTTCTGGTGCTCGCGGAAGGCATCAATCGTCCGCCGGCGGGCATACTCGCGGAAGTTGTAGTTCGAGAACTGGGAGGATTGACGAAGCAAAGAGCGGAACTGTCCGCATCAAATGACTGGTTAGCCCCAGTGCCATTGCGATGGGAGTGTAGGAGGGAATCCGCGCAATCTAGTTTCAGCAGGGAGGGCATACCAGAGATCGGACCTGGAAGGCCGTTTCACGCTGCATGGTTGGCACAGACATAATGGGCGAATTTGAGTGGAGAGATGCGATTATAAACTTTGTATAACTGGAAAGATAAGACAAGCTGAAGTTGAAGTTGATGATGATGCTGAAAGCGATTCCAGATACAGGGATCCTGGATTTCTAATCGGCTTGGCCGCTAACGCGGGGGTACAACTAGGCGATGCTATTCGCGTTAGCTTTTCAAGTCCCAAAAAGGAACAGCCCGAGTCGTCTTTACCGAGGACGTCCGACTCCGAGAGGCTTTTCGCAGAAGGGTTGAGATGTCCTCGGACAGCGCAAAGCAGGTGGCGTACCGGTCAAGCGTTGAGTCGCTCTAACAGTCAACTAGACCCAGGGATTCTATCCCAACAAGAGTCGTAAGAAGGTTATTCTGACAAGCAGAATATATAAGAGAAACAGATGCTTCCGGATGGGGATGCAAGTGGAGCGTTGAAGGGATAATCGCTGGCAGGCTCTCCGGGAAATTCTTTTGCTTTTGGGCTCGGAGGCGCGATGACGGAGTTATCGGACTCGCCGGCCGACCTCCACGGGGGATCTTCCCCTCGGCTTCCAGAATGGCTCCGCTCTTCGCCAACAACCACGGTTGAAGCCTTCACTCGCAATTGAACTGTTTTCTTGCTGGACAAAGTGTCTATGCGCTGCAGATCGCTCGCTGTGATCACCTACAGATCCCAATGGCGCAAATCCCTACTCCGCCCGCCTCCCGTTCAGCTTCACCAGCTCCGGATTCCGAACCCAAGCAAGCTCCTGTAGCAGATGCCCCGGAGGACTTGCTGCAGTCGCTAGACAATCTATTGGAGCGGTATCTGCACCTTCTAGATCAGCATCAGAAGTTGCAAGCTGAGCTAGGGTCGAAGCTCTCCTCGGTAAGTCACTTCGCCATAGCAAGCTTGAGGCTTTGTTGCGGTAAGCGATACTGAGAACAACACCAGGGGTATTTCTCTCTCGCCCAAGCCAACTATACTTGTCCACCGGGTCGACACTATGGGGCAGATTACTATGATGAGCGCATGAAGGCGACCAGAAGAGTGTTAGTTTTAGTATATTTTTGTACCATTCCAAGACGCGGTGCTAACTGGTTTCATCCTGATCAGGACTCTACAACCTCCTACCAACCTGGCTGAGGAACGCTACGCAACGGAGAAGGATAACTTACCGCCGACTGACACCGACAATAGCGATTCCAACTCCAGTATATTTGGGATCGAAGCAGTTACCGTCCAACATTCAGAGGACGAATCCGATACGGACGAGAAGCCCGAATTAGATGCCGATTCACCTGAGGAAGATCGGCCACAACGCGAAGAGGGAGATGCCCAAGATGGTGAGCTCTCGACCACATCCGAGACCCCTCAAACAGACCCCGACGCGGATGATAAGCCCAAGCGATCGAAAAAGAAGAAGTTTCGTTCTTCGGACCCGATCCATTGGTACGGGATCCTGGTGCCCCCTTATCTTCGCAGCGCCCAAAAGTCCTTCACCGAAGCCGTTGAAAGTCGCCTACCCCAGCTCGCTAGTGTCGTAGTTGAGATGCGCATCGTGGAGAAGGAAATTCATCGAGTGCGGAGTGAGCTGGGCCAGGTTTGAGGGAGGCTGGTGGTGCTCGCAGGGTCCTCTTCTAGGCCACCATGCGCCAGAAGTAAGGTAGTGGTGGTGATAGTGGTGATTGAAGCGATGTGAAAGGCTCAAGCTGGGATCAGTTTCCTGCCTGTCGCCAGGATCGTGCCTCAGGCAGTAGCCACTCAATATCGTAAATTCTAGACTTGTGCATATAAATAGACTACATGCAAGCTACGGCAGTTGATAAGGAAATAAATGAAGAGCAATATGGATAGAAGAACAGATGCACCCACTCTTCGGTACATATTTCCACCAGAGTCTATTTTTATTTCTGCCCTGGAAGGTCCAGCGCATTTGAACAGGGAACATTTATTACTTACCAGATGGGCGGGTATACTAACTAACTGGATAGGTAGGATGGAGTATCTAGTCGTTGACAGACTGGATACACCATCCCATAGACCATACCCACTCTGTTTATGGCCCGAACCAATTTTTGCGACTTCGACAGATTGACCAAGCATTTGATGGGAAAAAGAACTAAGGTACCAACGAACTCCCCTGTCAGACAACCGTCGGCTTTTTCACGAGTGGAAACGGGGGTGGTTGTTGTTGCAGACTTGCAGTTGCAGGAGTGGCTGCAGGATGGCTGGCCGTTGAGCCTCGCATCCCAGTCGCTTTCCAAAAGCTTCCCTCCTCTCCTCCCTTCGCTGCCACTCTGCCTCTCACCTTTTACCCTCGGATGGATCTCGTATCCTGACCATCTCACATTTTCTTCTAGACTGCCCTCACAGACCATGAACAAAATAGGAGGATACTATTATTATCCCGCCCACCGGCCGTCCAGGTCCTCATATGATGTTTACCCGCTTAATCTATTGCCGTAATCCGACTATTGTGCTTTTAATCTCCGGGGCTCACTCACTAAACCGCAATGAGTTTTCTGCCCGACGGACAACGAGACGGGTTCTACGATCTAAGAGTGCTAGTTGACAACCGGCGCAATTGCTGGTCTTTACGGATGTCCTTCCTTCGATTCCGAAAAGTCGAAAGAGAGAAAATGTGCAATGGGGAAGGGGGCGCCATCGCCGGCTTTGATTGAGTTTGCTCGCTTCGTCACTATCACCAATCTATAACGGTCGTGAGACTCGGTTAGTTTGAAGGCGCTGATATACAATGGAGCTACCCGAGCCAGGATCATATGCGACTCGCGGATGGTCTGCGCTGAATGACCAGGTCTCGCTCGCTTGTTCGGCTCGTTTATTGGTTGCTGCACACGGGAGGAGCTTCGTCGACGGTTTCATATTGAAATCCCAGGGCCGTAGAGGAGCGGTACTCCTGTTCAAGGTGAGACCTAGTCCATCCGCCATCCTCTTGGTCGTTCCGTTCCTGACCAATGGCCTGGCGCACAGTCAAGGTCGGGTCCTGACCCGCTAGCTTTTAGCTTCTCCGGTTATTCAGTATCCTCATTTTCGAGCCAATCTACGGCCCTCGCCTACCCTGTCCCCTCTTGGGTAGCATGGCATTGCGACTCATGAGACTCCGCTTGCCGTCTGCATGCAGACTCCGTACACTGCAAATGGTGAAGGGAAAACCAGGGAATTATCATGCATATGAGGTTGGTAGGCCGTGCTAGGGGATGCTATTCGTCACCTTGACTGTCGCCCAAATGAAGCGGCTTCAGCTCAGGCTGTCCGGCTGGTCAACCACCTTTTAAATGTATTGTTTACGTGGGAGGCTGGGTATCGCGCGCTGGGTCTCTTAATAGTAGCCGGCATTATCACAAACGGCTTTCCGTGCCTGTCCCCGCGCTATTGGCGCTGGATCAACTCCACTTGCGACTGAACTGGTCCGACTCTAAAACGTCTGCGCCCTTATCCGGTCCTAATGCCTGCGCATAGGACGGAAATGAAGCACTTTAATATCAACGTCTGACTTTTGGTTTGCCGGGGTGCTGGAAAACCCTTGGCCTTGCTTTCCCATCCGTGTGAGGCGCTATCGCCCAAAGGACTGAGTCTGAGTCTGTTTTGACGCGACACTGGGGTTGTTCTCTTTCTTTCTGTTCTCCAGTCGTTCGCTCTTTCCCCCAAAGTAAGGGCTAGAAGCTCTTTCTTTTTTGTTCCCTGTCATTCTTTTTGTCTGATTTATGACTCCGTAAGTCCGACAGTGTTTCTCTTCCCCTGTAATCAGGTGTAACTAACAAGTGTCTAACTATGCGTTCAGGGGTTTCACGGGCAGCCAAAGCTTTCGCTGAGCCTTGGGGGTCTGATATTATACTTCTTTGACCTGGGTCAACTTTCCTTCATTCTTCTTTTGAACAAAAGACCTTATTTTATTTTCCCTGTGCGGTATGCAAGCTTCTGATCTGGCTTTCTATGATGTCTGAGATTGTAGCATCGACTTACTCATTCCCTCCAGAGGCATTGAGTGCCATTGCGACTCTTGTTGTCGACCACTTTCATTTGATTGAATTCTGAGCCCATTGCTTCAAGCCTAGACTGTTGCACAGCGTTCGACAGTTCTAAACAATTGATTATCTCGGACTTGTTTCGCTATCTTCCTGCATCTGCTTTTAACTTTCGTCTCATACCCAGTCGAGCTGGATTCCGCGCATCGACCTACTCCCCGGTGTTGAAGAAAGATATCTCCACTACTAACACTTATATCGACTTCCATCCTATGTGCTGGCCGGTCTTACTCCCGTATTGTGCAAAAGTTTCCTATGACTGCTAGAAGCTCTACAATCTAGCACTGTTATCACATGGCTCCCCAAGCTGAAAGCGCAGGCTCTGGGCCCCAGCCAGATGGGGACGTTGCGCGAAAAGGATCAGTCAAAAGAGCGCGGGAGATGCTTCAGGCAGGAAGGCGTCCTGAGAGAGCGCCAGAGGAGCCAGCGCCCTCATTCCGCATTAATCCAGCCCATATGACACAATGGCCTCTGCCCGACAACGCCCCTCTGCCGCCGAATCTGGCTAACCCCCACGCAACCTTGGTCGTTCCAAAAGGGCCTCCGCCTGTGCGCCCACCCCGTCCGGATTGCCCGTCCCCTTCGGTCTACTCGGAGAGAAGCATGTCCGATGTCCCACCAGCACCTAGCCCGTTGAACATCAAACGTCCAGTTCCCTCCTTTTCGCAGCCGTTCCCAATCCCGCCAGGCCCGCGTCCTGCCATCAGAATTCCCATTCCTCGGCCGCCTAGCCCAGACAGTGTTGCAGGTTCAACACCTCGCGTTTCCGTCGCCACAGACGACCTCTTTCGACAGTCAGGTATTTCCACCGTCTCGTCGATCACTGAACTTCCCTCAGTTCCTCATCCGCTTCCCCCACAGCAGCGTGTTGCGCCAGGGGGCGCGCCAAAAAAGACCGCTAGCCTTGCTCCTCCAGTGCCTGCGGCACGACAGCGCGCCTCGTCTGTTTCGCCTATTCCAGAGGAATTACCGGATAGCCCAACCATTTCGCAAGATCACTACGGCGCTGCCCAGCCATATCCACCCAGCTGGTACTCAGGACAGGCAGAATCGGAAATCTTGGGCACGTATCTGGACGGCGAATCCGACGATGATGCGTCTAGACATTCTACTCACCAAGCCGGAGTAGCTACGGCTACGCTCCTCAGGCAAGCCAGCGTCGGGACCAGAGGAAAACCTTCCTTACGCACGATTCAAAAATCCAATGCTAGCTCGCCAGTACCGCCCTCAGAGAGAACCCCTGTGTCTGCTAGGCCGACTACGTCCGGGACTACGGGCACGGAGTTTATCCTGAAAGAAATATCTATTGGACCTGATCGGAGAGATTCTGTTTCGTCCAGCTCAACAGGGTCTGCGCACTTCAACCTGGAGAAAGCACCCATCGTCTTGGATGTCAGCACTCAACATCCTGCCTTAGCTCGTCCATACGTTGACAATGGGGGCTTGGAAAAAGAGATCGGAGCTCTTCCCAGGGCTGCGCCAACAATGAGCGACAAACGCCCAGGTGGCCGCCGGCCTCCGCGTCTCAATATGAGTGCTGTTCGTGACGCCGAGGCTCGAGGGAGCCTTACGAGTTTGCCTGACCTCATTCGACGTGCGACAAGACTTGCATCGAATCTAGAGCATGGCCGGACTGCGAGTCGTAACGATCTACTGAATGGCGGAGGTGGTTCCAGGTTCCAATGTAGGTTTGACCACAAGTGCCATTGTCAGACAAAGGCTAACCAGTGTTCATAGATGACGCCAAACGCAAGTCAGGATCAATTAAGAGCATCTTGGCGTCGTTCCCCCCGCCGGCTGCAACTCCTGAGGGAGGTCACTCATCTTGGCCTTTCTTCTTCAGGAGGTCCACGCTGCATCAGATTCACTCCAACGAACCACCACGGGCAGATGGTGATCAAGAGAAAGCTGCACCGAAACAACCACGCCGATGCTGCGGACTGCCCCCGTGGCTGTTTGCCCTTATTTGCGTCGTGATCATCATTGTCATCTTGGCCGCCATCCTCATCCCCGTTGGTCTGCTCGTGGTGCGCCATAAGTCGAGTGGTACGAGCTGCGCAACAACTAACCCATGTGAAAATGGCGGCGTCAGTGTCTCAAGCGGTAGTGTTTGCTCCTGCGTGTGTGCAAACGGCTATACCGGATCTCGCTGTACAATTTCTGGCGATGCCAGCTGTGTCACCACTGAAGTCGATGATAAGAACGCCACCATGGGCAGCGAGCTTCCTCGCCTGTTTGAGTACGCGCAGCAAAACTACAGTATCCCTCTTGATGCTGTGACGATCATGGCCCTGTTCAGCCAGAACAATGTGTCCTGCACGACGGAAAACACCCTTGTTTCGTTCTCCAGCGTATCAACAAGCAGCAGCAAAGCCCGCCGTGCTCTGTCTGACTCGTCCCTCGAGGAGCCCTCAATCTCCAGTCACCTGCTAGCCAACGTCGAGCACTCTCCCAGCTCAGCTTTATCAGAACGTACTCCCACGCAAGCTCTTGCAGCCCGCGACTCTGTCGCTACAGCGCACGGTATCGTCTTCGATGACGATCCACCAAGCAGCACTGGAACTGCAACCGCAACCGCGACCGCAACCAAGACGAGCCACGAGTCCTCAGCCACGCAGACTTCCACCTCTAGTTCGAGTACGACTACAACTACTTCTTCATCCTCCAACTCGACAACCGTCACAACAGAAGTCCTTGACTTCGCCCGTGTCGCTGTTCTCTACATCCTAGAGGAAACAGGCACCCTCTCCGCGGCGGAGTTCTCAGAAAGCAACATCCAAGATTACCTGTCCGATGACTACTCGGATGATAAGAGCCACAAATTCACCATCGACCTCACTCCCTCCGGTGTGATCGGCAATTACACTTTGAACTTTGACGACTTTGAGATCACATTACCCAGTGGAAGTGTTGTCGGTGGTGACTAGGATACCATGTTCTTTTTGCAAGGAGGCTGCAGTTGTATTTTTAATTTAATCTAGTACATATTCCCGAATCTTGAGTTGGCATTTGCGGCATCTTTTATACCAGTGATAATAATAGTATAGTAGCCTTGTAGGTGTAAATGGTAGAATATGCTCTGCTTCATTCTAATGAGAATGAGGAATGGAATGGCGTCGGAAAAAAAGCCGGGATCTGAATTAATACTGTGCAATTAGATTCACCGTGATCAGCTTGCCATAATACTAGTAGTCTGGCCGATACTAGTAGAACTCACAATAGTGATTTCCCATTATATAAATTTATTGCTATCTCTATCTACTCCATACCAAGCCCCATACCATTATTAACAGGACCAGGCCATTAGTAACCTATGTATACATTTTCCTAAACACAATCAAATATCTAACTGCCACAATTTCAGAACCACTATAGTCAGTCCAAAGCACCACTCCAGAACAGTAGTAAAAGTAATAGTTGCAATACTCTAGATGATCCCTACATACATATCTACGAGTAAACGCGAATAAATATGATATGGACACCATCCAACCGGAAAGAAACAAACGAACAACAACAACCAAAAAAAAAAAAAAAAAAAAAAAAATCAAAGCACAATCGATAGACAAATTGAAAGTGACTCGCACAGTGGAGAAGTAGATATATGAACAAAGCAAAAAAGGTCGTGCCCGGGATCGAACCGGGATTGCTGGAATCAGAATCCAGAGTGATAACCATTACACTACACAACCTGTTGTTGTGATTGATAGATCCCGCGATGTGTTTATCAAGGTGAAATGAAAACTAAGGGGGTTGTCAAAGTGATAGTAGGTTTATCTCAATGGGTCGAGGGGGTGTAGGGTCCTAGGTATGTGATCTTGGATCTTGCGTGGAGTAAATGAAATATACAGGTGTGAGCATTAGATAACTAAGTTTTGGTATTTCAAAGTAAATTGTAATTTTACACAGAGAAGAGAAATTACCCTATCCCTGACAACCCATAGCGCTTATTCATAATAGATAGATGATAGATGTCCTCGCCTCAACTCCTCGATTCCATGCATTGATTCGACAAAATGACACCAGACAAACCAGGAAGATTTACCAGACCCTATGCCTAAGTGAAAAGCGAGCTATTGGGCGCAATTCCCTTCAAGGCCGTATCGTCGTCCACAAAGTCGCGGAGTCTTCTCGTCCGGTCATCGAGGATCAAGCGTTCGGCTTCCCATCTCTTCCTCTCGAGAGTCTTGGCTTCGATCTGCTTCTGGCCTCCATACCAAGCCTTCTTGGCCTTCTCGATGGCCTCTTGCTCGTCCTTTTCGGCTTGCTTGATCAGCTGGGAGACCATGGTCTTCCAGTTTCCGATACCGACGCGCAGACAGTCTGCGCAGCGGTCGCGAGGCTCGCGGAGTTCCTCGGAAGTGCCGAGCTCGAAGATAGTAGCTTCGGCCAAGTCCACAGCGTCGCGGGTCCATGCTAGACCACCTTCCTTGGAGGAGGAGGCGTAGATGATCTCACCGATGTAGGTCATGAGGCCGGCTTCGTCGCAGACGGAAGTGGGGGTTCGCTGAGGTGGTTCGTCGCCTGACGGTAGAGGAGGCGGGTATTCCACGGGGACGAGGACGGTTTTGAGAGAGTTGAACAGAGCGCGGAAGGGGTCATTGCCCGAGGGGGCGCGAGAGGGGAAGAATGGAATAGCCGAGTCGGATGAAGCTGCGGGAAGGGATCGACGGGCCTTCAGCACGGAGGTGAAGATGGATAACGCATTTGGCAGGTCACCCTGTTTGGCGTGGTGAACGGCGAGGGCCGTGGATACACGGATGATGTTCTCAGATGGCAACAGCTTGCCATCGTTCTTCAAGACGCCTGTCTTCAGATCCACGACTTTTGTGGCATCCACGGAAGATCCGGCTGCCGCGATATCCATAGCCCAGCTGTACATATCGCGCGAAGTACTCTTCAACCCCTTGTAATCGAGCCAATCCGCATACGAGAGCGCTGCCTCCACCTTTTGTCTCGTGTCGAAGCCCCGCGTCGTCAGGATCTTCATGTAGAAGCTCTCCGGACTAGGAGAAGCAGCCTCGCAGTTCTCCTCCAGAGGAGCTTGCTGTCCAGCGGGCATCGGCCTCGGGCGAGGGTTCGAGGGGCCAACAACATACTCCGCAGGAGCAGAGATACGCTGTTTGCGATCGGTCAACCAGCCCTCCAGACTCTCCGCAGCCTTTGCAGCTCCCATCAGAGCCTGGAAGTAGCCCCGTCTCCACGGCTCACTCTTCGCAGAAACATCATATCCCATTTTTCCAACACCTTCGACCAAAAATCCTCCATCTTCTTGCTCCATAATGCCCTTTCCTTCGCCTTCCGGATCCTCCAATCGCTCCAGCAGATCTTTCAGGTATCCCGCAACCATGGGCCAATTGGTCATGAGCTTGCCGATCTGCTCAGGGTGCTGCAGTGCCTGTGCCGAGCGCAAGCACCACCGACTCTTCCAAGACCATTCCGGCGGTGTTGGCCATTTGTGTTCGATGTCCTCCTGGTATACGCCCAATTTGATCACTTGGAACAACACCAGCATGGCGTAGAACGAAAGACCGATTTTAAGTCCATTGGAAATGCGTCGCCTATAGTAGTCACGGCTCTCGGTCGATACCAGCCGCGCAAAATGTTGTCGGAGATGCAAGGATAAGGGCGGAAGAGGTCGACTGCCTGCCGGGGATGTGAGGAATGGTAGCTGCGGCCGACCCAAAGGTGGGGAGATGACTTGTCGACGAGATTGTTGCGTGAAGGGACGGGAGGGATAGCGGGCGCTGCGTAGAATGGGAGGTCGCAGCAAGCGACCAGACCCCGGTATTCGAGGCATTGGAACGCGATGGGTTAGCATTCTGTGATGCTTGTCGCAGAGCTGCTGGTGCTAGAACGGGTCACGATGTCGTCGGCGGAAGAATAACCCAAGTCAGGTGCAGGTGCGTGTTTGCGTGGTTTGCAGATCGGCCCGTCTGAACCCACCAGTTGACAGTAGTCAGCGAAAAGCAGAAAAGTCCCAAAGCCTTAGTGACAGACACTAACTACAAAGACATTACGAAGGAAAGAGTTATTCTTGGTATACAATCTCCGAAGTTGTATTGGGGAATCAAATATTATTTCCAAATCTCTCTATAGAGCAATAGATCCTCTAAAACCTCCCAGGGTTCTGAAATCCGACCTGTATCACGCAAAATAAAATCCAATATTTTCCCAAGCGCCTACGCTAATCTAGTTGCGGTCAAAGTAGCCCTCGCTCTCGAGCATGAGGATGATCTCGTGGACAATGCTGCGGACGCTCTGCTTGGAGACATCAACAGTGAGATCGGCGTTAGCAGGAGCCTCATAAGGATCATCAACACCAGTGAAGCCCTTGATCTCGCCACGGCGGGCCTTGGCGTAGATGCCGCGCTTGTCGGTCTTCTCGCAGTGCTCCAGGGGAGTAGCAACGTGGACGAGGAAGAAGTTGCCACCGGAGCCAGCGACGGCCTCACGGGCAGCCTTGCGGGACTCCTCGTAGGGAGCAATGGGGGCAGCGATGACGGCAGCACCGGCACGGGTGAGCTCACCGGCGACGAAGGCAATGCGCTGGATGTTGGTGTGGCGGTCCTCACGGCTGAAGCCCAGCTCGGAGGAGAGCTCGTGGCGGACGGTGTCACCAAGCAACAGAGTGACGGAGCGTCCACCCTGCTGGTTCAGGGTGACCTGCAGGGCACGAGCAATGGCGTCCTTGCCGGAGTTCATGTAACCGGTAAGGAAGATGGTGAAACCCTGGGAAGCACGAGGGGGGTTGGATTCACGCAGGATCTTGACAACCTCGGGGTAGGAGAACCACTCGGGGATGTGAGCACCGGTGCGGAGGCGCTTGCGGAGCTCGGTACCAGAGATGTCGAGGGTCTTGACACCAGCGGGGACCTCGTCCTTGGGGCGGTACTCGTCGGTGTCGGGCAGGTAGGTGACCTGCTGGAACTCGACGACCTCAATGCCAAGCTCGTCCTTGTACTTCTCGACGGCGTGCTGAGCATCGTAAGGACCGTAGAACTCCTCACCCTTGGAGTTCTTACCGGGACCGGCGTGGTCACGACCAACGATGAAGTGAGTGGCACCGTGGTTCTTACGGATGATAGCGTGCCAGATGGCCTCACGAGGACCACCCATACGCATAGCCAGACCCAGGAGACCCAGGACAGCCATTCCGTTGGGGTAGCGGGGCAGGAGGGCCTGGTAGGCACGGACACGGGTGAAGTGGTCAATGTCACCGGGCTTGGTGAGACCAACGACGGGGTGGATCAGGACATTGGCCTGACGGGCGCGAGCGGCACGGACGGTCAGCTCACGGTGAGCTCTGTGCATGGGGTTTCTGAGGGACCGTTAGTCGTAAGGTCGCGCGCGCATCATAACGGGTGCACTATAGCTGGTCTCGGCCACACGTACCTAGTCTGGAAAGCGACAACTCGGGACCAGCCGAGCTTGTCGAAGTGGACACGCAATTCCGCGGGAGTGTCTAAATTAGGAGGCCCGCGCGGTCAGTACATGAATCAGGATGCGGTCGCAAGGATCGCGCACGGGCAAAGACATACAGCGAAGAGCGACATAGTCGTAGTGGTTGAGCTTGTTGACAGCCTCGATCTTTCCACCAATGTAGAACTCCTGGACAGTGTTGTTCAGGTACTTAATGGCAGGGTGTTCCGGGTCTCCGCCAAAGACCAGCTTGGCTTCCTTTTGCCTAAATTAGGGGTGAAAAGCACATCGTTAGCCCATCCGCGTCATCGAGACCCACTATCTGTAAAATCCCCGACGGCTAGTGAACTCCGCCCGTGGGAAACCAAGGCCGGCGATGCCAATCTCTCGTTTCACGAACGCCCCGTTCAAGTAAGAGATATAGCGATCGCCAAGGTCCCGCGATTCCCATTCGTACGGAAAAATTCACAAGGCAAAGAGGAAAGAGGGGCTCCACTCACTTGTCAGCGCGGTAGATGTCGTCGATGGTCAGGATGGCCAGGTTGCGGTCGTCACGGAAATCGCGCAGGGTGAGACGAGCGCCGGCCTGGAGCTTAAGCTCGTCGATGGTCTTCTGGGAGGCGTCGAGGGTGATGGGCATGGAGAAAACGTTGCCATCGTCAAGACGGCAGTTCTCGCAAACACTGAACGAAAACCGATGTCAGCTAATTGTCCCCCAATACTTTCGCCTGTTGAACAGGTCCTCGTTCTGCAAATCTAGTGTCGCTTCGAGGACTACTGGCGTAAATTGATGGAGTTTAAGGGATCGTAGCATACCCGTCGAAGTCCTTCTGGTTCATGAAGCCTGCGCCCGGAGTTAGCCAAGACTGACGAATTCACCCCGCGACGGTTGCAAGCGGACGGGTAGTCGCGGGCAACCAGGACGGAGAAAGTGGGATGGATGATTGGCAACATACCCTCCAGAGGACTGAAACCACCGTTCATGATGAGCTCCAGATCGCAGAGCTGGCGCTCAGTGAGAGTTAGGGCAGGGAGAGTCTCCGCCTCAGCAGCCAGCTGGTCGTGGCGGGGAGCATCGCGGGCAAGAAGGTCCTTAAGGACACCACCGTGGGGAGAGTTGGCCATTGTGAAAGGATGATGAGGGATGGATTTCCACTCAAGCAAAGATGTGATGAGAAAAGAAAGGAAGGAAAGGAAAGGGTCTGGAGGGTCCCAGAGGATTATAAAGAAGAAAGAGAAGAGTGGAGGGGGGTAGAAGGAAGAAGAATGGAGTTTATGAAGAGTGGAAAAGGGAAAAAAAGTTCAGGAAGGGGTCAAGAGGGGAACAGCGGAGCAACCAAGGCAATGATCCAATTCGAGCAATTCAGGAGATTGAGGGACTCCAGCGATGACCAATATGCTTTCTCCAACGACCGTCAAGTTCTCCGTTCCAGCCAAACCAACCATCGGGATCTGTCCTGCGGTCTCGTCGAAAGGTGGTGGAGCTGTCGGACTCTTGGTACGAAGAGCGTCTACGTATGCCTTTGTGTCGTACGTCTGTCTGTCCTTCTTTTCCTTCCCCCCCGATGAGGCTGCACACACGTCGCATTCGCAATTGCTCATCCCCAGCGCGATGGCGCCATCGCTGGTCTCCAGCATGCTATCCTCATAAGTTCACTATTTTTAGGGCCTTCTAGAAGGGCGGGCGCTTAAGCCGACGCCTCTATTCTATACTTGAACTTGAACTACGTTTGTACTTCCGATGGCGGATGGGCTCTCCTCGGAGATACGGGGCGGCCCTCGTAACCACGGGGGATAATCGCTGCCCCCCCCATCGTCGTCATCAACCTCATGTTGAAAGCCACATAATTTCCCCCGCTGGGTCTACGGAGCCCAGAACAAGTCATGATTTTCAGGGGGGGCAACAGGATAGTTGCCGTTTAAGTAAAGCACCAGCGTATGCGAGATGTCAATCGCATGCGTGGACATTTCTCAGATAGAAAAGTTTCCTCCGATCATTATTGTAGATGTCAGGCCCAGCCGGCAAAACGGTTTTGAAACATACCAGTCAAACATGATTTCCTTGGTCGTCCGCCGCGTTTCAAAAAAAACCGCCGCCGCAAAAATCACGTGATGGGATCACGACATCTCCAGCTCGGCTTGCGTGATTGACTACGCCAGCCGAGGCCTAGTCCCTCCTTGGCACCGGTTCCGCCCTGTCGCTCAGGTGACCCGCTTGCCCTAAGCAGCGACCTGCTGCTGGGACACCATGACAACGAGAAGAATAAAACCGGAAGATCAAAATCTGATATTGATTTCTCAGTCAGCCGCAGTATCCGCGGAGATGTCAGTCAAGGTTTTCCTAGTAGTGCCAATTCGCCTAGTAAAAGACCTGTGTCACTCATCTCGAATAAGCAGAAGCCCGGGGAACGCTTGACAAACACCTAGTGCTAGTGTTGAGTCTGCCGACATCATCCAGGCGGTAACACTGAACAGCCACTCCACGCACACATAGTATATCACGAACTCATCTGACTTGCGTCGGTCCGCTGTGGAACTGTTCACGGCGTGATCGTATTTTAGTCCAGGGTCTCAGGGTCCGGGAGCGCGGGATGTGGCTTCTCTTAAAGAGCGGGAGGGGTTGCAGACGTATGCAATCCTTTCTTGTGGTGTAGCCAAGAATGACGATAATTGGAAGTAAATGATGCAACCAACTAGTATAGCCCTACACCGCATCGTCGGGCCACAACACCTGTCATGCATGAACCATAAGGCTGAGAGCCTTAACTTACTTCGATTTAGGGTCTATAAGCAGGCAAAATGGTAAATCTATGGCCCAAACCAAGCAAGCAGTCTTTGACAGTTTGAGTGCCTGCGATCCTGCTGCTAATTTCTTTTTAAACAACCAGCGCTCCCAACTGTCCAACAATCCAAGCTAAAAAGTAAGCGAGAAAGTGCACGTTCCCTGGGGAAACAGTGGCACATAAGCCGCCCTTCCAAGAATTTTTAAGCATATTCGAATCTAGAACGTAAACACCACCCCCATACTCTTACATAAAAGAAAATGGGGCAGAACAATCAACCTAGAATCTCTCGCACGAGAAGCAACAATCCCATTCTCCTGCCGCTGATAAGGTTGAACTGATTAGATTGATAAGATAAGATCACTTTCCTGTCACGTATCCAAGGTTGAAATGAAACACAGCAGAAAACTTAACATCCTTTCATATGCCAGGAATCTGGAACTGTCGTATCAAAGCGAATTTACTCATTCTTCGGAAATATTATGTGATGCGGAAGATTTTCCCGAAGGGAGGTGAGGAGTGCGAGTGAGTGAATGGCTTAGCACTCATCATCTCGCTATTTTCCCAAATATGTTGTGAAATACCTTCTCCATTCAAATAATCAATCGTGTTTACGACAAGTGAGAGAGGCACAATGAAATGTGTAGGAATGTGTAGGTATGTGTGGGAATTACATTTACTATTTTTCGCGGAAGGATTTAGACATGCGCCCGAAGCCCAGCGGGCTATTTACCAATTTACTAAATCTTCTAAATCATACTATATTAATTCATGTTAGGTAATATTTTGAAAAAGCTCTGTTGCTGTTGGTCTATAAGGATAACAAGCAATTCTCAACCGCAGGCTGGGGTAATCTAGCCCACTGCACTATATCCGGAGGCGCTCAACGTAGTATCTATGGTCTTGGCAGGGTTTTGGTCATCTGCTGAGTATTCGTTGAGAATCAAAGGAATTCAATCAGTATTTACAGACGATAAATAGGCAGTTCCGGACGATCCGAATCAGCAAACTTTAATTCCTTCAACGGATTCATAGTAGCAAATTCACTTTCTATTCGGTTGGGTCGGGTGCGATATCGGATAGGGTTGAAGTTCGAACACCCCACCCCACAGTCCTACACTCCGCGAGTCTACATATAGGGTCCAATTCAAGCTTAAGGTGGGAAAAATAAGAAAAGTAGAATAAAATAGTCTAATCATTTGTATCATGCAAGTCATTAATGTACTTGGCTTGTAAGCCGTCTTTTGCAAATCACTGCCAGTCTCCGCCAACCCTGTATGTACAGTATCTCCGATCGGAGTAGGATTGACGAGCGGCCTTTGAATTCCCAGATGTCATAAAAAATAATCCTCCTTTTCCCATACCATTGGGTCTCTTTTTGAAACAAGAAAATCAACAAGGCTATGTAACTCCACTCCAGATAAAACTCCCAGGTCATAGAACGCCGTTATAGATGCAAGGTGAGAAAGAAGACAAGCGGCCTTTACTGAGCGGATGTCGTCAAGGACGTCTGAAGAGCCTGTGATAGGGCCTCCTCTTGACGCTTACGCTCCATCTCCATAAGGAACTGAGCATACTTGGAGCGAGGGTTGTGGATACCGCACTCGGTCTTCTCCTGGCCCTTCCAGCGACCAGACCGCTCATCTTCGTTCTCCTTGACTGGCTGGGTGGAGTGGTAGTCACCAATGCTCTTGTAACCACGGTCGAGCAACTCGTTGTAGGGAACATCGTTCTCTTGGACGTATTGCTTGACCTGCTCGAAGGTCCAGTTGGCGAGAGGGTTGATCTTGATCAGGCCAGCCTCGTCAACCTCGATGACGTCGAGGTCACCACGCTTGCCACCCTGGCTGCGACGACGTCCAGTAAGGACAGCGTGAACGTTGAGTTCGCGGTAGGCACGCTGGGCAGGCTCAACCTTGGCTACCCAGTCGTAGAACTGGTCGTCCTTCTCCCAGAGACGGGCACCGTACTTCTGGGCAAATTCTTCCTCGGTCTCGAGACCCTGAGGCTTGAAGACGTGGATGTTGACCAGAGGATACTTCTGGCGGACACGGTCGACCAGATCCAGGGTCTCTTTGAAGTGGTGGAGGGTGTCGAGGAAGATGAGATCAACCATCTGGGGTCTAGGCACGTCCAGCTTGGACAGCATGTCCAGGGTCACAAGACCAGTGAGACCGAAAGCGGTGGTCTGGTAGAGGTGAGGCAGAGAGGTGACACACCATCTCAGGACGTCTGCATTTGTGTTAGTCAACTTAGCCTGGAGACGCGTGAGAGGGGCAACCCATGCTGACCTTGAGGCTCAAGAAACTGCAATTGTCTGTTGAGAAAGTTCAAGTGAGGCTTAGTGAAGACGATTTCTGGAGAGTAGTCATCACTAGAGCCACCACTGACATAGCCAGAGTCGGTGGCAGTGTCGGCAGCCTCATAGGCAGAGGGGTAGTTCTCAGATGTCTTCGCAGGCATGGTGATTGAGGAGTCGAATGACAGGGTATATGGTAGACAAGTCAATCCCAAGGACGAGCAGATGAAATACAAGCGGGTCTATATGTAATGGCTCGACAGACTTGGAGGGATGACGGAAGGACTGGAACTGGAGTGGGAGGCAAGAGATGATGTAGACAGAACACAATGGAGACGACCTGACCAGTCCGATATAAAAGAAAGACAGGACAGGGGCAATCACGACATCATCGGGTCGGGGGCACCCGTTCTTCCTGCCCTCAGTCCCTCATACATGCCGGGTCATTCTGCCGTTTCTCGATCACGACATTGTCTGTGACCGCCTGCACAATTGGGCGACTGGGCTGAAAAATTTAATTTCCTCATGTCCTGGGGAAATCACGCAATACTTGCGCTCTGGGTGACTCTGCGCACCCGGACACGCTTAGCTCATCCACTGAAACAACCGCCGCAGGTGCCATTGCTGATAAATCCAGCATGGTCCACAGTGAAGTTGGAACAGTGAAGAACATGGGCGAAGGGCATCAAAGTTCATCCGGTCGGCAACTCCGTGTAGCCGTTGCTCATCTTATCTTGATGATGGCATGGTATCCCTGTTCCGGTCTGTTTTCTGGCCCCAGAGAGGTGCAGATCTAGTTGATGATTAGCCTCGGACTGGAGGAGATGAATTGCTTAGAAAACAAACCCGGCTGATTTGAGTCAGACACTTGTAGATAACTAGATCTAGTGTCATTGTATTTGTCTTGGCGACTAGTCAGAATAGACCCTTATTTGTCATACTAAACCGATGGTGGCAGTTGGAGTGTGCTTGCTCTGCTCCATGAATCCCCCCTTCCCCAAAGATTGATATCATCGTCATCTCCATCTTTCATGTTTCTTGGGGTGGGGAAGAAGTTGGCCTGGTTCTGCCGGGCGGTGAAGGCACATGACTCGAGCTCATGTGACCGAGGGGCACGGGATCCCCCACCACGTGCGGCCGATCGGAGCTGCAGGGGAAATTCGCCGTGAGTTCAAAGCCAGACTCTCGTTTTGACCTTGTCTAGACGCTCTCGTATCTCCCCCTTCTGCTTCCCGACTGCTCCAGCGTGTCGAGGGTTCTGTTCCCACCGGGTGGATTCGCTGTTGATTGCTGAGGATCATCCGCTGCTTTGCATACTCGCCCTGTGCTATCAATCTCCGTCTACCTCCGAATCCCACTTGCACCCCTCACTCACTCAACTCTCCTCTCTCCTCTTTTGCGCCAAAAACTCTCTAGTCCGGCACAATGGCAGCGCCCAACCCCACCAACAACGGCCGTCCAACGCGCCCGGTCTTGCGACAGACCCTGTCCAGCGCATCCTTCATCCAGGATCATCAGCAGTACAAACCCTCTGCCCCCATTCAGACCATCGGCAACGTGATTGGCAATTCTCCCGAGTCAGCGTTTGCTGCGCTGTCCGTCAAAGCTAATCCCATTAGCCCCGATCCCGAGAAGGTCACCGACAGTGGCATTATCCACAGCATCTTCAACCAACAGTCCAATGAACTGCCTACTGGAACACAGCAGCTGGTCGCTACGATCTACTACAAGTCTGCTGATCCTATCCATCCCCATCTGCACCCCGACTCCTCCCCTCATGTCGGGTCTGGCCAAACTCTGCCATCACCCATGGTACCCGTAGGTTCCGCCCCGACGGTCGATATCGAGAAGATCCCACGGGAGCCTCCCGCCCCAGAGCCGGAGCCGCTTGATCATCTGTACGGCCCGTTTGTATCACAGCTTTGCCTGACCAACTTCCTTCAAATCATCGAAACCCTTCCGACCCCGTATCAGCGCACCAACACTTCGCATCGCTGCTTGGATCGTCACGACCAGCCTCGCGTCGTCGAAGTCACCTTCTCGCCTCCTCCCAACCCGGACTACCTTACCTTTGAGGATCTGCGGAAACATGAGAGCATATGGCGATTCGAGCGTGAATGGAATGTGGAGGTCGTCCTCCAGCGGGAGAGCGTCTTCCGTCGGCACAAGCGCTTGGTGGTGTTTGATATGGACAGTACATTGATTCAGAACGAGGTGATCGATGAGATTGCCAAGTTCATCGGCGTGGAGAAGGAGGTTTCGGTTCGTACCTTCTTTGCATAACGATGGCAAGGCGTTGTATATACTGATATTGATGGCAGGAAATTACGGCTCGTGCTATGAACGGCGAGTTGGACTTCTCCGCATCTCTCCGGGAGCGGGTCAGTCTGCTGAAGGGTGTTCCTGCGGACGTCTTTGAGAAGCTGAAGTCCGTCATCACCATTTCTCCAGGTGCGCGTGAGCTGTGCAAGGCCTTGAAGACCCTCGGCTGCAAAATGGCAGTCTTGAGTGGAGGCTTCCAGCCTCTTGCGGAGTGGCTTGCCGAACAACTTGGACTTGACTACGCGCATGCCAACCATGTATGTGATGCGACATTCGACCCATCGATAATATTTTGTATTTTCGCTCAAGCACTAATACCCTGATTAGCTCGAGATCGATCCTACGACGCAAACCCTGACCGGCAAACTGGTCCCCACATACCCCATCATCGATGCGAGCCAGAAGCGCTCGATTCTTCACTCGATTGCCGCGGAGCATGGCATCCCTATCTCCCAAACTGTCGCTGTTGGTGACGGAGCCAATGACCTGCTCATGCTGCACGCAGCGGGACTGGGAGTCGCCTGGCGGGCCAAGAGCAAGGTGCAGCTCGAGGCACCGACTCGTCTCAATGGCGAGAGCCTCGTGGATATCCTCTACCTCCTTGGCCTGACCAAGGATGACATTTCCGAGCTGATTGCGTAGTTGAAGATGTGCTACCGAGCATCTATTACAGTGACCAAGCGATCAGTAGAAAGACACGAACACGTGCGTCTTCCACTAGTCAGCTCGGCGACAAGCATGCGGACATGTCGCCAGGTGCGTACTCTACTACTACTCCTCCAACCCGTTATTGGAGTCCTCCCGCGCACTATTGGATAGGTTCCTTTCTTTCCGTTTCATTCCCATATCATTTCCCTATCCATCTTTTTACACCCACATCTATCTCTTTTTATCTCTCTTTGGCCCCCAGGTTTTGGATTTGGCATGTGTAGACAGACCAAGCCCAACTCCAAACCATTACGTCCCTTCCCTCACCCCCTTTTCCCTATCATGCGAATTCGAGAAGCCAAGCGGAAATAGTTTCATGCATTAGAACGATGAGCACCAGAGCGTTTACATGCGGGCGTCGGAGTAGGCAAGGAACAAACACGGGCAGGTACAAATACATACGACTACTATATGATGGGCTAGCTACATACCGGACAAATTCTGAATTGATTCGAACGAATTGCGAGATCATGATAATGGCTGATGCTGATGTTGACAATATTCCCGTCTACCTCTTTTATGTGAAATGGATGCCATACATGTTGAATTAGTATTTTTCTATCCACGACCCTATAGTAGATGATTGAGACAGCCAGCCCATCCCGCTCATCCAGGGCCCAATTCCTAATGAATCCTAGCGATGCTAGTCGTAGTTGATAATATGTGTGTGTAAGTAGACCAATTTTAAAACCAGAAGCTCGAAACAACCACAGTATAAGCCCCATTTAATGCAACCATGCGCCCATGAACCGAAAGACAAACACAAGAAATCGTACACAGCTCGAAGAGAACAGGTTAAGCTAAATCTCAACGAGTAGCCTCATCAACAGCAGCAGCAACCTTCTTCTCAGCAACAGCATCACTAACCCCAGCGCGCCTCTTCTTCAAGACATTCTCAATGAACGCCTCACCAGCCTTATAAGAACTGCGCACCAATGGTCCAGAAGCACAGTAGAGGAAGCCCAACTCCTCAGCACGACGCTGCCAATGCTCGAACCATTTCGGATGAACATACTCATGCACAGCCATATGCCTCTTCGTCGGACGCATATACTGTCCGAAAGTAACGACATCAACATCAACAGCACGCAACTGCGCCAGCGCATGCTCCAACTGTTCCTCGGTCTCCCCAAGACCCAACATCAGTGACGACTTCGTAATTACCTCCGGGTTGGCCTTCTTCGCCGCCTCCAACACAGCAATACTCTGCTTGAAGGTAGCTCTCCGATCGCGAACACGGGGGGTAAGAGCCTCGACAGTCTCAATGTTATGCGCATACACATCCAATCCCGAATTAGCCACCAGCGCCACCATATCCAGATCACCGCGGTAGTCACCAGTCAGACATTCAACCAGGGTGCTAGGCGCCTTGGACTTGATCTTGCGCACGGTCTCAGCGAAATGGCGCGCACCGCCATCCGCAAGATCATCACGATCCACACTCGTCAGCACCACATACCCCAATCCCCAGCGGGAGATAGCCTCGGCCGTGTTCTCCGGCTCATGGGGATCCAGCGCAGCGGGCCTCCGACTCGTCTTGACACTGCAGAAGCTGCAACCGCGGGTGCAGGTATCGCCCATGAGCATGATGGTAGCGGTAGCGGCGGCTTTGTCGCCGCCGCCCCAGCAGTCGGAGATGTTGGGACAGCGGGCTTCCTCGCAGACGGTGTGGAGGTTCAGGCCGCGCAGATCTTTCTTGAGGCGTTGGTAGTTCTTGGAGTCTGGGATGGGGGTTTTCAGCCAGGGTGGGAGACGGGTCATTTGCTTTTTGCGGCCGGCGGGGCCGACGAGAGCGGTTTCGAGGGCGTAGGCTTCGGAGGGGTCGAGGAGAGGCGCATTGTCGTTGTTTCCGGAGACGAAGTCGCCGAAGGATGGGCCGGCGTTGAGCTTGTCTGTGAATGCGGTGCGGCGGCGTGGTTTGGGAGTGCTGGTGGCGGAGGTGGAGGAATCGGTTGTGGCGTAGGTGCGGGTTGTGAGGATGCTGGGGGTGGATTGAGGGAGGGACGCCCTCGTGGAGGTGTAGAGGAGCCGTAGACGGTTTGTTGATGCGGCTGCCATGGTGTGTGTTTGGTGTGAGGAGAAGAGACAGGCGGCGGTGCTTTGGAGAAGTTGAAATGCAAGTTGGATTCCGCGGGAAAGTCGCTGATAGCCATCGGAGCTTCGGTTGCGATGCCGCCCGATTCATGACTCAGCGGGCGTTAGTGCCTGAGGTGTCGATGATGTGCTGACATATAGATGGTCCTGGAGTCCGGTCATTAGTTGCAGTAGACACTTTCTTTTATTCCTTTCTAGAACCAGCAGTGCTAGGTAGTGCTAGTATTATATCATATTCTTATGTCAATGGCTCAAGACTACAGTTCAACGTTTCGTAGTGAGGTGTAGTAGAATTGCAGTTATTATTATCAAGCGGTTAGATGTTTGAACAAGACAGACGATATAGCTGAACTTATGGCATATTCTGTTTCATCCTGGATAAATCCGGAAGAGCCCATTGTTGCAGCCATTCATATTCCATGATCTGCCCCGCAGATGGTCTCTTTTCCGGTTCGAAGGCAAGCATATCTCTCAACATAGTAAGAAATGCAGTCCTTTCGGCGTCCCCCATCGGTTGCATATTGAATTCTTCCCTCGGCTTCTGAACTGATTGGGTGAATCGTTGCACCCAGGGCCTTGAATTTGTAATACCATGTCTTGTTCCGTCCTCATTAAACCATTTTGACCGCGATTCCCATTTCTGCCACCACGGCAGTGGCAATTTGCCAAATGTATCAACATGTTCTTTCACTACCCAGTCGACTGACGGATTAAAGCCCTCGAAAAGTGGACGCTGACCGATTATTTCCCAGATGGTGCACGCAAGCGTCCAAATATCAGCAGAGAAAGAAAGTGACTTTTTCGGTTCGAAATAAGTCTCTGGGGGGACTAGCATATTCGGCGTGTTGGAGTGATGCCGCGCTGTAGTGGCTGGCATGAAAGACTCTCCAAAGTCAGTGACAACTATCTGAGCTTCAGATAGCGAAACTTCTTCGCTCGCTTTTCCGAGCCAAACAGGCACGACAGCTTGTGTGGGGACACCATCAGGAAGTGGACGCTGATCTAGACAGGTAACTGGCTCATGGTGAGGCTGTCCATGCCTTTCGTAGAATTGCTCTGGTGAGAGCGAATCCATACTCTCAGGAAGAAGAATCAGGATATTCCCGGGATGAAGATCTGACATGACATGAGTGTAGGTATCACGATGAATAGCAAATGTACTTACCAGCATGGACAATGCCCTGAGAATGAAGATATGCCACTGCCAAGACTAGTTGAGCAGAGAAAGCCCTGGCCACAGGCAACTGGAACAGCCGGAAAGATGAGGCATCTTTGGCCTCAGCTAGGTTCATCATTCCAATCGCTGTGACAAAACATTGATGTACACCATTAGGCCCAGAAATGGTGAATTCATCTGTTATAGATGGAATGATTGCGCTGCCGGGATGAGTCTAGGCTTTCAACTCTGCAATACCAAGTCGATGGAGATTATTCCTTTCTTGGGAGTTAGTTGGATTGCTGTCTGCGATGGTGATTTTGACGGCGACATATTTTTCAGTTTTATGATCTCTTGCCAACCAAATGGTTGAGTATGCGCCAAAGCCCAGCTTATGCACGATACAATACCGGCCATTCAACCATTTTCCTATAGTTGTTGGATGATAACCGCCTGGCCGGTACCGCTCAAGTTTCTCAACATCCTCGAAAGGCGTGTACTCAATAGCATTCTTCATTGTATCCGAAGTGCCGTTGTCCTTCACAGATGTCATTCTACTGCCAAAAGCTGTGTATAACCTGGAATGTGGTAAAGCGCAGTGCTCGGTGCGGATAGGGAGGAAGGTAGAATTTGTAGGATAAGGACAACTTTGCAGCACCTTCCGAGAGCTAAAGCATGGAACTACACGACTTATGCGCATGATGTAACCTGTGTATGCACGCAAAGATAGCCTTAGGGATCGATGGAATCTCATTACTGCGCCGGGCTGCTGCAAACAGAAATCTGACCAACTGGGAGGCTCCCTTAAGCGAGTGCGCCAAGAACCATCTACACTGGCTTCTTGTAAGAAGGGAGAAAACCAGAATTGCGGGGGGATGGATAAAGAAATTGAAAAAATGCGCGGAGGCAGAAGGAGGAAGGAAGGTTTGGCCTATCATCCCTGCTAGTAGTTCCGTCAATACAGATATGCCTACACGTGATCTTTTCTTCGGCCATGGTTAGAAAACCCGCATTTGCTTAATATGTGACATTGACAGGTGGACTGGAATGTAAAGATAATATCATTGTATGTAGATCTCGGTGGGAAACGACTAGCTATTATACATTAGCCCTAGTGGCTAACTGCACGCAGTACATGAAACTTCAATCGCCAGTAGGAAATACAAGAGGGAACAGGCCCCAGGCATGTAGTTTGACAGATAAGGAAATGTAAGAGAAGGACAGTTCATAGAATACACTGAAACGAAAGACAGGGTTCTATGCAATCTGGTCTAGCCAATTTAGTAAGGAAAGATATGGTCACAGAGACAGGACTGGGATATAAGAACAGAAGGAAATAGTGGGAGAGAATAGACAAGGAGAGATAGGAAAGGTGTCTATAGTGATTGACAGTCTCCCAAGGAGACTGATGTTGGGAAGTAAAGAATGGCTGCTCAGTTCTTAGTTTCAAGCACTTGAGCGAGGACAAATACGGCCGACTTGAGCGTCTCGTCTGCTTTGCCGCATATAGCAAAGAGCAGGTTATCCACTATTCGGTCCAGCTCTTTGCGAAGCTCCATGCTCCGGGACCCTAGGACACGTTCTTTGACACGAGACGAGGTAGCTGGACTAAACTGCATCCCCGGCGAGGTAGCTACCTTCTCTGGCACTGTATCAAGCCGGGACACGGGGGAGGGATGCGAGAAGTTGTTGATCCTTCGGTTGTTCGATGCCAGGGATACAACATAGTTCCGCGCGATCAAAGCGGCACATAGGCCGCCTAATAGGTTTTCCGCGACGTTTGGGAAGATGTCGCGGAAGGGCTTCAGGAGTGCCCGTTCGTTGTTGTGACGGATGAACATGATGACGGGTGAAGTTAAGCGAAGCATATTTCGTGGGAAGTCCTTCACTGAATGTTCCAATTGATCAATAGTCCATTCGTGATCCCACCACTTTTCTAACTCCTCCTTCTCTGACATGGTCGAGGAGCGCCCAGGTGATGCTTGGACCTGGGGTGATGTGCTAAATTTGGGTGGTCGCTCTAACTTGGGCGGAGACATCGGCTCAGGCGGCGCCGGCGTCGGCTTATTGCACACAATGGTCTCGCCGACGCTCTCTGAACTCATAGAGCCTGCATCAGTGTAGTCATCGTCGTCATCCTTATCGTTCCGGAGGTCATCGGGCGAGGGACATTCGGGATGGGTGATATATCCACTGTCAGACATCTCCATTGGAGTGTCCGGACTGAAAGCTGATACCTCCTGTTGTCCGAGATCCGGCGTAGATGGAACGGGCTGTGGCGGAGTTGGAAGCGAATAGCTCATTGCTGGAGATGACTGCCGGGAGATATCGACTAGCTTGGGCTTTGTTTTCCTCGCAACGGTGCAGATCTGGAAAGTCGTCAGTACATTGTATGAGAGTGTAAGCATGCAACACTTACTTCGTGTTTATCAGATGGTGATGTCCTCAACCGTGGTGGGCTCTTCTGTACAATCTGGCATTTCCTTCGACTCTGTTCTCGAGTCCTCTCGCCCTGGGAGCCAGGCGTTTCCACAGGTGCGCCTTGAAGCCACTCACCACAGTAGGAGAGACTGCTAGGAACCCAGCTTCCCTCACTAGATACGGTTCCTGACCTGCTTCTCTGGGACCCCATTGACGACCCGGAAAAGTTTCGCCTCACAAATGTCTCGGAATCTGCAGAGGGGACGGGCGATGGCATGCATTCTGGATTGGGGGACGTTGCGATCAACGACGCATCAGCTGGCCGGCATTGCTTGACCAATATGGAGTGCGCCATATGTACATTGGTTGTCTCGTCGTGCGCCGAGGTTGTTGGGCGAGCCTCCTGCTTTCGAGCACCACAATCATCACAAGTTTCTTTTCCAGACACACAGGCGCAACCTTTTGGTGTAGCTGGGCCATAGTCTGATTCGGATTCGTATTTAGACGAGAAGTAGGCGGATGATGGGGATGATTGCGAACCCAGAGAATCGGACAGAGGAGGACTGGGGAGAAGGCCGAAGGAATCTATACTGGTGACGTTGATGTTTTGGTCCGAGCGCCAGGCTCGCAGTGTTTGGCCTCCAGACAATTGTCGCGACGATCTGGCTTCCTTTGCAGCTGATGCGATGCTTTCCAGCGACGGCGAAGATGGTAGGCGCAGTTGAAAGGGTTGTTTCATCCTGCGCACAGAGCGAAAGGGTGACATCACCACCGGCGGACGCTCCACCGGTCGACGTGGCTGCGGAGCTGTAGTATATTCGGCTTGGTCCATCCGGGGAGAAGTCGAGGGAACGAAAGAAAGGGAGCTCTGGGGCTGTTGCTGTCTCCTCCAGGGCTGCACATTGGGCGCATAGCGCGGAGCAGCAACCCCATTCCCTTGGATCATGGCTTCCTCCGCTAATGAATTATATGATGATACTCTCCTGGGTGCGAACGCTGGGACCTGGTTCGCAGACATGGTATGTTGATGACAGTTCCTATTTGGGTTAAGGAACACCCTGGCTGACTGGCAGTCAGTGGAGGACATGGCTGGCACGGTAAATGGTAAATTGCAATCAGGCGACAATCGATTTCCTATGGTTACTCGGGACTAATGTGCAAAGGAAGAGAAAAAGAGCAGCATCAATTCTGATCGGGAAAGCGGCCGGCAGGGCCTTATACTACATAACAATATGGGTTTCCAGGTATCCCTTGACTGCCTTGCGGTGACGGGGGAACTAGTCACTGGGCATGTGTACTCTCCCCCTTCGAGAGGGTCATCTAACACTCTGGAACATAGACGAAGAGTGAAGGGCGACCACGCCCACCGTCCTTGCATACCAGAGAGAGGCGAGCGGAGATAGCGTGCACAGCCATTGGCTAGCACTCTCAATGCGCGCCACCTGCAGGGACAGCACAACGTGGGTGGTCCGTCTCCCAGGGTGCTTGGATCTCGTTAATTAGCAAAAGGAATGAGACATGCAGTTGGAGGGATGCGGGAGGAGCCTTGGGAGGGCATTCAGAGGACGTCACCGGTCTGATTTCAAGGCTCTCTAGTTAGTAGAGGCGTTGCGCCGGACAATCAAAGAAGAAGCCCCTAGAGGGACACCCCTTGCATGGGGTTGCTGTGGGCGCCGGCGATAGGCTCATGTTGATTGAGGGATAGGCGAAATTTAATTTAAGCAGCATGTGCAGGAATTCCAGCTTGACTGCGGCCGCGGAGATTTGAGTTGTATCATGATGGGCTTGAATACCACGGGAAGGCAAGCAAATTTCAATCTCTAGATGCGGTCTTGATGGTGGCTCAGTCAATCTGCTTCCGCTGAGAGTCCTATGGTCAACAATGGATGGCTTGCTAGTGGCAACCAAGGGATAGTGTTAGCTTCAATAAGTAAATCAGTCACAAAGGAGAGCAGGGGAACTAGGGAGCTGAAGACAGGGACAGCGAGGGTATCACTCCGTCAACCTGAACTGAGGGAGAGAAGGAGACGAAGCTTAATTAATGAAGGTTTATAGATCGTCTTGTTCGGGATTATCTAAGCATGCGTATAGAGATGCACAATACTTCCTTATCGGGCACTTGCAGGCAAACCATGCAAACATCCCGGTTATCGATTGGAGCCTCGATTTCCTCATTTTATTTTATTGCATTTTCGTGGATTTTGCGTCTCCAAAAAATTAACGGCTCGTCGCATTCTCCCTGCCTCCTGCAAATTTGAACCTTCTGGGGTGGCAGTTCCTCATGCTTTCTGAATGTTTCATCGCATCGACGCTGGCGTCCAGCAAAGCGCCAGCGTCTGCGACCCTCCGCGATGTGGGAGTTTGCGTCCATGAATTCCAGCCCACGCTGAACCTGCGCTCCACCTTCAAGAAGAGCTCAACGGCGGCCAATTGCCTGGCCGTGAGTCCGTCGCATGTTTTCGCTGCGCAGTCCGAGAAAGCCATTGTGCATGTGTATAGCAGGGAGAAAGGCAACCAGGAAGCCACCGTTCCCTTCCCTGAGCGCATCCGCAGCATTGCTGTCGCCGGGGGCAAGAATGGCGATGTCCTGGTCTTGGGAACCGAAGGGGGCCGTTTGATTCTGTGGGAGGTAAATCGATTGTTCACAGCCCCAATGGCGTCGCCAGCTATTCGTCATGGTTTCATACTAACAGCATGTGCTTCCTAGACATGCACCGGGCGACAAGTGGCTACGACAGCGTCGCATCTGCGGCCAGTGACCTCACTCGTGGTCGATCCCAATTCCAACTTCATCCTTTCGGGTTCGTCCGATGCTAGCATTCATGTTTGGTCGTTAGTGGATCTCTTATCCTTCACGAAACCTCCATCCGGCCGTGATCGTCAGCCTCCGAACTCTCCCATCCGTACCTTCTCCAACCACCGCGCCGCCATCACCGCCATCGCTGTGGGTCACAGCGCCGGTCGATACAACATTGCCGTGTCTGCTGCAGATGATAGCACAGCCATTGCCTGGGATTATCACACCGGCCGTCTCTTGCGCACCTTCCTCTTGCCTTCGAATGCGAAGTCGCTGGCACTTGACCCGGCCGACCGGGC